TTTACCTGAAACAGAAACAAAGGGAAAACTACAGATTACCGGGAAGACTTTAACTATCAGCCTATAGCAGGAGCTGCTGATCTGAGATAAGTTTAAAAATAAATCAGAAAATGCATTCGTTTATAAGAGCAAACAGAATTAGCCTTGTGATGTACAGTAAATCCATACTTTCTTTAAAAACCCCAAAGCTGTTGCTGCTACTCACCAAATACCTCTGACTGAAGCTGTCCAGCAGTTTATCCACTTCTGAGGTTTAAGAGGAAAATTTCGTCCTTTTTTGACCGAACTTTATTTAAACTTCACTATTCCGTCTTTCTACCATTAGGTTAGTTTAAAAATCCCGCCAAAATGGGCAGTGACACGCACTAAAAACGTGTGAGCGGGAAATGTCAGCTGTTGCATCACCGCCGCCATATTGGGGAAGTTCTCTTATAGCAAGCCATATTATCATAAAATCAACGTGTTCTGACTATTAGTAATTACTTTTGAGATGTCAAAGAAAAAGTTTTGAATAGGAAAAACTAAATTCTGACAATTCTGAAATTCAACATATGTGAAAATATGTTATGACTCGTGATAGTAACAATTCAAGATATCTTCAATCACATTATGGAGAGTCGAAATGTATTTTGAGATATCTCAAATGATGTCATGTGATTAGTCACGTATCCGTAATTACAATCAAGATATCATTCTGTTTTTAATATTGTTTTTTGTTTCTGCTTTTTTATTTATTTATTTTTTCCTACTTGCTTTGATTCTGTTCTATTTTCCTACATTTTAATCATGTAAAGCACTTTGCATTGTCTTTGTACTGAAGTGTGCTATACAAATAAATTTGCCTTGCCTTGCCTTGCCTCAAAGGTAATTCTGACTAATCAGAATTACATTTCAGATATCCGAATTACGAAATAGTGCCCTAGTGCTGTCACTGAGCTCTCCAAACAGTTGCCTGCAGAATTTTGGGCGCTGGCTCTTCTTGACAACGCAGACATCCCAAAGAAATTCCCAGAAGTTCCAGGAGTCTCCCGGGTATAGATAGTTGCCCACGAGTCGGATAAATTATCCCGGATTTTAGACTATGCGAGGTGGTGTTTTTTTATGCGAGTGAGAGAGCGCTGGCAGTAGAATAATTCATGCACCGTGTGCAGATTAGAACTACTTTGACAACAAGGTGTGGGGATGAAGTTGCTTTTGAAACCTGTACATATCTGTCCAAAGCGATGCTCTGTTCAACAAGTGTTCCAGGCGACTGGTTGTTAGAGAGCTCATTGACAACAACAAATCACATAGTATTGATGTGCCGAGTGTCGGGAGCATCTGTAGCGTTAGCGTGTCTAATGACCGATGAAGTTTTACCTGATCGATATAAAACTGAAAAAAATCTTTTTATGGTGAACAAAGTAACTGCAAGACCATGATATGAAGGGGAAGAACTGAGTAGATCTTTGGCTAGCTGTGCTCACTAGCTAACAGGTTAGCCGCAGTCAGTTAGCCATATTAAGCTACGCTACTTTTAAATTTGTGTCAAGTAAATTTCTACAAGTAGAATAACTGTTTTATTTGTCTAAACCCTCTACGAAAGTCATTTTTAAGATGTCCCATTTATCCTCCCCTGTCCACAGATCTTAATATAAAGAATAAAAATAAGCAAAGACTTTTTTGTCACCAAGGTAAATGACACAGTTCAGTCTTAATATACAGTACTTTCCTTTAAGACTGACAATGATTGTTTTCTACTTTCAGCTACTTTAGATCGCCAATGAAATGTAAAATAATAGCAAATATAGGTAATAATATGTTCAGAATCCAAAAGAGGTTTGATCATTAAGAAATGCAATACAGTTTGTCCAAGTGGAGCTGCCATATATTGACATCATAAGAAGGGGCAGGGCCCCAAGCAGATCTGGTACCTACACCGGAAGTGATTATTTTAGGGACCGGGAACTAATTCCAAACAAAACACTGCTGATAAATAAAAATAAAAATATCCTTTGTCTTATGACAGACAAATTCTGCTACTAGATTAAATAAATGAGGCACACCCATTTTTATTTTAAGTCATTTTTCTATTTTAATTACACAGACTCAAAAAACCATACAAACATTAAAGACAAAATTATAAATCAGAACTATAAAATCTATAATAAAAAAAATAAAAGTAATTTAAAATAATGTCTAAAATCAACATCTCACACAGTGAGAAAGCAATGGGATGAGTTTTTAAGAGCGATTTAAAATCAGACAAAGAGGTAAACAATTTTGCAATGGAAGGTCGTTCCACATCTTTGGAGCTGCCACAGATAAAGCACGATCGCCCCTAAGCATCCGTTTAGTTTTTGGCACCTGAAGAAGCAGCTGATCGGCTGACCTGAGTGAACGGGAGATTGCATGAAGGTGCAGCAACTCAGAGATATAAGATAGAGCAAAACCATAGATAGACTTAAAAACAAATAAAAGAACTTTAAAATGAATCCTTAAATATACAGGGAGCCAGTGTAATGAGGTCAAAATTGGGGTAATGTGCTCATATTTACGAGTGCCAGATTAAAGATGTGCTGCAACGTTTTGCACTCTCTGTAGTTGAACAATGTTAGAGGCACTAACCCCCAAATAAAGTGAGTTACAGTAATCCAGCCGGGTAGCGATAAAGACATGGATTACTGTCTCTAAAAGATCTCTGGAGAGAATGGGCTTCCATTTGCCCAACCACCTTAACT